AACCTTTTTCATCTTCCTCTGTCAGGGCAGGTGCCTGGGAATATTAAGTCTTTTATGTGAGTACTGTGTTAGATCTCACTGCAAAAGAGATGAGAACAGCACCCTTGAGTGTGTCAGAATTTGACTCCCTGATAAGCCCCTCCAATCTATGAGACAATTGCTTAACCAAGCATACTTTGAAAGTGCATCATCAAGATGCAAGCTTTTAAACTATTGTGTAATAATAATTACATGTTGCAGTAAAAATCATTAAGAAAGTTTGGGGGTAATCACTATATCGTGGTTCTGATTCCTGACCATAGCATCTTGGGCAGTTTTACACAGGTTCTTTAACTATATAGCAACATAAATTAATTAACTGCTCACTGTTAAATGAAAGAAAACCAGGAATGGTTTTAAAAAAAAACCCAATTCTTCTTGTGATGGCACTACTAATTTAGGCAATAAACTACATTTTTACACATAGTTGCTTAATCCTTACAGACTTACAGGGGCTCAGGAGACTTCTGGCTACATCTGATTGTGCTTGAGAAAATATCTCAAATATTTATGTCTGTATCCTTCCTCCATAATAAGCAGGGACTTTTATTCCACTTTTTTGTAGCTCCTTTAGGTAAAATTACTTTTTTTTCCCACCACCACCACAAAGCAATTCTCTTTTATTTCCCCATCTATTTGGTGTATAACCAGTGATTACCCAGCTCCAGTTGGCTGTTCTGTCTGCTAGATCTCATACTCTTTCCTGTGAAGCACATTTCACAAGATCAGCAGAGGAATAGGTAATGATAACCATGTGCAATGTCAGCTTTTGGAAAGGCAGCCTTTGAGGGCTCTTCCTCAGAGGGAGACATGCAAAATGCCAAATGCCAGTCGATTGCTCCACTGGCTACATGACTCCATGTTTACTCATTCGCACCCGTCTGTAGACCAATGACCAACAAACGCCCCAAGTATTTTAGGCATTCATGAGGGATTTGGTGCAAACTGCATCCCCAGTAGAGCTCAAAGGAGCTCTCATACTAAGACTCCTGATGACTTCCTCAAAAACAAAAATAAATCCTTACTTTTTTTGTATACCAGCTGTGAGAACAACTCCTTCTTTCCTTAGCCTTTCGATCAGCAGTGCTACTCGTGAGTTCCAGTGTTACCAAGTCCATAAGGTACCCTTTTCTTAAACACTTACTGAAAAACTTCCTGGGATCATCAGAGACCATAACACATGTAGGCTGCAGAGTGTGCTGAGGCAGGGACAGTGAGGGAGAGATGCAGCCATTTGTGGTTAGAGATCTTGAAGTGCCCTTGGACACCAGCTGAGCGGCTGAAGCCAGAGCGCTTTGCTGAAGATGGTGTTGAACAACACCAGTGCTCACAAGGCGCTTATTATTAGGGAGAAAATTCCATGAGGTTATGGCTGAAATTCAGTAGTAAGTGAAGCTGTGAGATGGGACAGACCCTTTACTTCATTAAACATCACAAACCGTGCTAACTACAAAAATAGTGTTTCTGTTAATTTCCTTGTGGACATGGAAAGAAAAAAGCCTTTACATTTTGTTCTACCACATCCTAATACTGTGTATCATTAGTAATGACAAATGACAATGAAGTTTGTGGCCGTTTCTTTTTATGTGTTGTTTGTTTCAGCAATGCCTATACCTCAGCAAGAATACCTACTTTACAGTTGTAGGAAGGCTGATGAGAAAGAGAGCCCTGTAAGACCAGAAAATCTTACAAAGGGTGGGCACATTGCCCTCCGATTAAGAAAGGGTCATTCATCTCTATCTGTATCTCGATCTCAGCACACTGCCGAATTTTTAAGCCAGACAGGTCTGTCCTGGAGCATCCACTTTCCAACCTGTCTCTCCATACAGTAGGTCACTGCCCCAGCTCACAGAAATGGTATTCATAGTATTGCAGAAAGAGGTCAGACAATTTTGTGAGGATTGAATCTGAACAAGCTAACAGCAACAGAAAGCATGTGACTGTAGACTCCACAGAACAGATTCAGGCTACATTACGATTACCGAGAAGTTTTCTTGGCTTGGTCTTGTCACTAAGTTAAACATATTTATAAAAAGCATGGAAGGGGCAAACAAGGAAGGAAAGTTAAGCGCTGGTTCTGGAAAGGTGTCATGGCTCGTGGGCAGTTCTCTGAGTTTGCTGAGTCAATAAAACCATTAATCCTTTTCTGTGAGAATTGTACATAAATACACACTTCTTCAGCAGGTGTAGAATTCCATCCTCACAGGGGAGTTTGGTGCAAATTGCTGTGGGACACACAACAGACTAACATATCACTGCTGCCCGAACACACACGCACGTACAGATATCCTTCTTTGTCCTCTCTAATCTCTCTCCATCTCTGTTTCTGGATGATTTTTTTTTTTAGTTTGATCTCTTTCCACTGCAGCTTGCTACCTTGCAACTTCCCATACAGAACAAGTACAGATGTTAACAAGAAAATTCATTGTGAATGAAAAAAAATTAAGGAAGTTGAGTGAGAGCCAAATGATTTTTCACTTGTTCTACTGTCCTATTGTCTGTTTCCACCAGCACTGATAACCCACAACACCCTGAGAATATCTAAAGTAATAAGAAATTACTGCGGCAATACCACAGCATAGTCTCTCAGGTGACAAGAAGGTAATAATATCCCGTGTAAAACACACCACATTCTACTACCTGATCTCACCACAACTGGGGTAAATATATGGTTCTCACTCTATAGGTGGCTGTGCAGTGTGACCTAACTTGTGCTGGGGCAAGCAAAGAGATATTCTGATCTGAGAGCCTTTATTATCAGGACTTGGGGAAATATGTATTATTACTATTGTTAAAGACTTCACAAGTGACACTTGGAATAGAAACAAAACCAGAAATGCTAAATGCAAGAGAACATTGACTCTGCTAATGATAACTTCGTCTCTGCATACAGGACCAGTGCTCAAGGGAGAGAAGGGTGTCTGGAGGATGGCTGCTCTACAAAAGCCTTGGGCACACTTCATAAACCCCTGAACTGGAATTCCCAGTATATTGACTCATAATATCTCTGTTTGTCACTCTGCAGACTCTGATCCATCCTGACATCCAAATTTCATAGCTAATGTTGAAAAATTAGAGGACAGAATTGAAGTGATGAAAGGATGGAAAAGTTTACAGTGAAACAGGTTAAGATCCTTCACTGTAGTGCAAGTTTCTCCATGAAAAGGAACAGGCTTTGGAGCTCAGACTACCACAATTATCAGAGACTAGGCTAAGAAAGGACTTGTCCCCAGCTAACTACACAAGGAACAGAAATTTCCAACCCAGAGGAACTTCTCAATAGCCACCTAAAGACAACAAAATCAGGTGGCTGAATGTTAAAGCAAGACCATGTCAGACTGAAAATGAGATAAGATATTTTTAGAAGAATGGTATTTAATTGCTGGGGGACTTAAAAACATTCTGGGGAATTTCTCATCACTCGACTTCTGGACTTTTTTTTTCACAATTGGAAGTTTTCTAAAATATAAGCTCTACTTGAAGTCACAGAATTATCTCTGAAAAATTCTGGCAAGTCTTATGCTGTTATTGCAACAATCACTTGGTTTTGAAAATTGTACGGGGAAGGAATTAAACTGTCATTGTGATATTTGTAAGTGAAACACCTTAATCCTGTTGTTTTTCTAGTTTTAATTGCAGCCTTTTTCTTTAGTTTCTGCATTTGCATTAAATATACAACTGCTATATTTTCCAGCTCTGATATTTTCTACAGTGCAAAACAGACGTCAGACAACTGGTTTAAACTACACACTACAAATTTCCTATCAAAGCAAAACTTAAAGAGCACATTTTTTAATTTTACTGAAGTTTTCACAAATTGCAGGAAATACTGGTGCATGTTAGATCTATTTAACATGGCATCAAGTGAGACAAGTATAAATAAAATGACTAAATGAAACTTTAATCTTAAGGTACATTTCTGTCATTATAAGCTTGTTTAATTTTAATAGTTGTTTGGTTCTAAAAAATGGAAAAGGTAGGAAAGATAGTTAAATGTACTTTAGAAGCAAACACAACATATGCCTTTAGATGAAGTAATCAAAAAGCACATTACTGATATAATTGAATAACTCTATAACAGTATACACACAAGTATGTACCTGAAATGTCTCACAGGGTGAAATGCAAACATTTGTCACTAAGTCCATTGCACATATTTTACAAAATCAACACAGATTTGGAGCAACTTTTTCTTCACATTCTCTTCTACAACTACCTTAACAATTGTGTCTATACCTTAAGGGGCCAGTTCTGGTTCTATTAAAATAAAATTACCATTGGAACAGAAACAAATTAAACAAGCAAAAACACTGCGGGCCTCACACTATATTTACCTACCCAGTGCCTGAGCTGGGTTCTGTACAGTTTTTGCTTAGACAGAACTAAGATCAGCAGAACCTCCTTCACCACACAACTGCCAAGAAACTGCCTTGAGACTGAAACCAAGCCAAATTATAAATGTAGTTTAGGGGTTTTTTGTTACAAACACCATGTCCATCAACATCCTCATCACTAAAACAAACCGAAACACAGTCATTGTATCCTGGTTCTGTGACACAAAAACTCTCCATAGCATTGAGAAAGTCCCCTTTTTCACCCCTTGTCTTACTGAACAGATGACAACTCTGTTGACAAAAGTAGCAGATTTAGGACCGGGAATATTATTCGATTCATCATAATAGAAAAGATTCTTAGGATCTCGTCCCACTCAAACAAAACACAACAGAAATACTTAAATAGAAGATAAAAGTTCAAACCAGGAAAGCAGAAATCTTTATTGCAAGATTAAAAAGCCTTTTGAATAAATGACCTTAGCTGCTGTTCTGAAGTGGGAAGAGAGAGGCTTGGTATAATGGCCAGGAGTCCAGCAGACATTTTTTTTCCTTTTTTAATTATTGTCACTGATGTTATTTTAAAGGAAGTGCATTTAAGAAAAAAAATAAATACCCCAAACACCTTACCTCATTTAGCTGAAGATTCTGGAGTGGAAATCCTGAACTGAGGCAATGGGAAAACTGTCTACAGAACAGTAGGTTGGGTAAGCACAGGTACTAGGTTATGTCAACTAAAGACTCCCAGGAGTGAAGATAAATGGATGTGATACTAATTTTAAAACATTTTGCTGAACACTCAAGCAGCCAATAGGGGAATTCCTTAGGTCACTTCCTGTTCATTTGATTGGATCTGCAACGACAACAACCAAGATGAGGTTGAGAGCGTTTGCATAAGGCCAGCTCAGTCCTCGGCATTCAAAGAGAACAGGTCTAACCGGGTTACACGCGTGGCTCCAGAACAAAAGAAAAACCTGGTAATGGATGAGGGATTGATTTCTTTGTAGTTGTTTTTTAAGACCATCCCTTCATTATTTATTTTTTTTAATTGAGGTTATTTCAGGTAGATAGGGAGATCATGATTAGAATGGGGAGAAGTGAAAAGCAGGAATGTCCTAAATTAAAATTAGTCTGGAAATAACATTGGGAGATAGATGGTGTGGAATAACCCTGTGCTGGCAGGGAGGTAGACTGGGTGAGCCCATGTGATGAGCTCAATGCTTTCTTTTATACATTGAGAGTCCTGAAAAATGCATGAAAGGGTAGTTTATTGGTCTTTCAGCTTCTCTCGATATTTGGGAGTAGGTAAGAAGCAAAATGAGGGAAAAAATAACCAGTGTGTGGGTATATGGGGTTGAGTATGAAAGTTCAGTTATATGCAGGTTAGCACAGCAGAGAATCAGTAGGCATGCTCAGTCCCAAGTTTTCCTTGACCACATGTGAGTTACTCCTTCAGCCTGCATCCATGAACCTGAGCAGGAAACCAGGTGCCCAAATGAAAATAGGAAGCCTCATCTGTTTTTCATTATTTCACTAGTCAAAACAAGGCACCAACATGCAAACAGTTAAAAATGCACTAAAATGTGGGCAGGTTCTGAGGTTTCATTAATTTGCATGCATAAAGAAATGCTAAATATTATTATTCAGTGACTGTTCAGTGGTCTGTGTGAAGTGAATTTTCTAGTTTTTGCTCATTTTTGGTCCCAAGTCTCATCATAAATCTTCCCCTGACAGATACGGACAGGAGTTCTCAGTGCTAGATTTACCAAGTACAGGAAATGAATTGTCCTTCAACATCCAGAGATACTATTAATTATTAATCAAGGCTCATTGTCAATGTAGGGGAAATATTTCACAAATACTATTTATGCTGATCCTGATTTCAAGATAAATAATGGATCTCAGATTCAAGGAATGTCACCTTTGTTCCTATCATCCACACTAACACCAATTAAAAACTAAGTTCCTTTTGTTCGTGTAGATAAGGTGCACCTGTGTACAAGTGTTGCTTGGGAAGATTCAATTATTTCTCACCCAGTTTAGATCAAGTTCCATGGCTTCCACTGAGTCTCACCTATCAAAGAAAGGTGTCCCTGAGGAAGAAGGAAGACTGTAAATACCCATCTTGGAAAGCTTCATTGTCTTGCATTTACAACACCAGGGGTTGAAGTTGTCCCTGCAGACAGCTAAGGAACTATTTTGATAGGCCTAGCACTTACAAGATTTCTCTAAGTGTTCATGTCACTGAGTCCAAGTATTTGCATACCAGGTCATGTTTTGTCATCAAAATAATGCCTTTGCATGATATCAGCATGAATGATCAGTCCCGAGCAGGAAAAAGTAAGCAAAGAACTAGCAAGCAGTAAAGAGCACTTTCATTCCCAGGAAGGGTATCTTTAGGAAGAAACCCAAGTCTTACATTGTGCCACTGAGGAGATTAAAAAATCACACTGAAATTCACCTATATGCTGCAGAAGCACCATAGGAGGTTGTGACCAATGGATCTCAACATAGACTGGGAAAGCAAAATTTTCCTATTGCTAGAAAGGACATCAGCAAATGCAGAAGATAAATGGTTCCAATGTGGTACTGAGAGTGGAATGTCACTTTCTGTTTGTGTGACTCTTGGCCTTTTCTGTTTCAGCTCCTAAGGGCAGAGACAGCTTTGGTCGCTAAGACGCAGAATACTTCCAGACAGACAAAAAAGCACATTGTACCAACAGGTCTGGACAGGGTGAAGCTAGCTTGGTCGGCACACCAGCATGCATTATTTATTACTGTGCTATTTTCAAAGGCAGGGTGCCACACAGGGTGGTGGCTCCCTAAATTTACTGCCCTACCTGGCCAACTATGCTGCCCCCATGCTCCCAAGTATGCTTATTGACACTTACATGTGGTTCAGCACAGAGAGGATTACGGGTGGCTTTCGGAGACAGTCAGGCCTTTCCCTCTGCATATCCCTCTTTAGCACTGCAGCCACAAAATTAACATGAATTTGGTCCCCACACAGTTCTAGGTGGCAGAGAAAACATTAAAAACTTTATAACTAGGAACTTGGAGGCCACAATCACAGTGTGGCAGAAGTGCCAGTGCAGATTCCCAGAATTAATTTAATTATAGCCATCAAGCATCAAGGAAATTACCTAAATCTGTCTAGATTCTTAAATTGGCGTCTCTCACTGTAATGTCTGACACCTGATGAAAACAGACAACAAATGTATGGAAATTTCTATTTTTTCATTAATATTAATCTCTGCTTCATTTGTTAAATTCCAGTGGAATATCAAAAGATGGGTATAAAGCTGATGTGTAGGTTAGACATGCCAAGCAATTTGAGAATACAGAGTATGAGATTCCTGCCTTCATTCTGCTGCAACAAAATCAGAATTGATTAATAAACTTTGGAAAATAATACACTTTCTGTAAAAACATCACTAGAGAAGCCAGAAGAAATAGGACAGATACTATTTCCAGGCTGTGTTCTATGTTATAGGCAAATGCCATCTATTACTAAGGTTGCCCATTATTTAGGCTTGGAAGACCTTGTAATTTTTTCTTCACAGTTTGCTAAATTTTAGCCTTTAGCTCTTTGGCTAAATTGAAATTTTCCATCATGGGCATTTACTATGCAACAAAATTTTGAGTAATTGTCAAAATTACTAGTATGGGTATACTGGTATATGTTTTTCTGGCAAATTCAAAAAGGCTAAGGAAAGTGCTGTACTTTGTATTTATAGTTTGTATTTATATTACTGCCTTTTCTTTGGACAGCTCAGGAACATTTATGTTTGAAACCCATATTGATGACAACTGGCTGTCAAATTACTAGTGTACTATTTACCATTCCAAACAAAATCCAACCAAAGTTAGCCAGTGTAAAGTTTTTTGACAAATCACAGAATCATGAAATGGGCAAGCTTGGAAGGGATCACAGTGGGTAACCTGGTTCAACCTTCAGGGCCATCCCAGAGCACAGAATGGGCCACTCCTCCTGGCTTTGTGTCTGCAGGGAAGCTGCTGAGGAGGCCTCTGCCCCTTCCTCCAAGTCATCGATGAATTGGGTAAAGCAGACAGGGCCCAGTATTGAACCCTGGGGGACACCACCAGTGACAGGGCTCCAAGCAGAGCCTGTGCTGCTGATCATGGCCCTCAGGGATCTGCCACTCAACCAGCACTCAATGCGCCTCATTTTTCTCTCAGCCAGTCCACACTTCCTGTGTTTGCCTATGAGGATGTTGTGGGAGACAGTGTTGGAAGCCTTGCTGAAGTCCAAGAAGACAACAGCCACTGCTCTCCCCTCAAATCATAATCCACATGATGGATTCATGAGGCAAAGCCTCATTCCCTCAGCTTTCTTTTGGAGCAAGTGTTCTCCACTTCCTGGCTTCACAAGGCTTTCCTAGCAGATAAAAAAATGGCTATTCCTGTACACCCACAAAACTTGAAAAAGCAGATTTTCTAATGAGTCCTCCATTTGCTCCAACAGCTACTCTCAGTACAGCAGCAGAGGTCTGCAGTGGGGAGCTAAAGGCCTCGTTCATGGGCTCAACCCACAGGCTACTCAATGCCGAAACAGCCACGTCTGCACGCCACTTATTCCAAACCTAAAAACTGTACACAGAGAACAGAACTAAGAGAACATTATTAACCTTGGGACAGGCTGGGAGGCGCAGTACTTAGGGCACAGACTGGGGGGTACTCATTCAAAGGGAAGCTACCCAACACTATGCATGCAGGGAGTGGCCCTGAGCTGTGTTTGCTGCACATGAATCAAACTTGTGCTGAAAACTTCTGTTCATTTCCTCATGAGTTTTCTTATGCTGTTCATCCTCCTGGTATTTTAGGTATTATAGTTACACATGTACTTATAATGTAAATAAACATTTAATATATGTAGATTAGTGTATTACATTGTACTAATGTGTTAGCACTGACATTACAGTATTAGCACAAAAACACTTATTGATCTTTATGAATCCCTAGTGGGGTGAGAAAGTAATAATTTATTGTCCCTATTTTAATGGAGAATCCTAAAAAGATCAAGACAAAGGTGTTTATTTATTCAAGGTATCAATTTTGAGCTGCCTGAGCACCATGTATTTAAAACACTTATTATTCTATAGTTATGTAAAGTACTGAAAGCACAGCTAGCATTCATTCTCATTTCAGATTTTAGTACTTAGCAGTTCTGTAAATCAGACTTCTTTTCAGACAGAAAAGAAGGAAAAAATGGTTTGGTTTTTTTTTAATATTACCAAATATTGGCCTGAGTCTAGAAAACAGCCTAAGCATTTTGTCTGCGTTTTTCCAAATGTAATCAATCTCAAGAAAAATCCATTACAGTTCTGCCAATCACTGTCTAGACAAATTATAAGTAAAGTAATGATAAGGAGGTTGGCAATGGTCACAGCAGAATATTTGCAGCTCATATTCTTCCCAATTTTCTGAAGACTCAAATTTTAAACCAATAAAGCTACATATTTTAGTATTTCTACAGCTTCTTCACACACATAATAGTCATTAAACAGACCCCAACTTTCTGTTAGTTGATCTGATTAACTGAAAATCATTGAGTAACAAAGTTCCTTGATTCTGTATGTTCTACCCAGAAGAAGGATATATCCTGAAAATCCAGCTATGCCTCAAAAGAGGTACTGGATAACCTGATAAACAAAGGGATAAAACAAACACCCTCAAATTCCTTTCCCAGAAATACATCTGCCAACCAGAAAATACCATTTAAGCACCACTT